AACGCCCTGGCTAACCTCCCTCCATCCCTCCCAAGGTGAAGCAGGTAAGGGCTCCGGCAGGCACTTCTGCTCCCTTGGCCGGAGGCTCTGCTCCTTTCGCTGCAGCAGCAGTAGCAGTTGCTGGCCCCTCGCCGTGCCGACTACGGCACATCTCCCGGTTCTACAGCCGCTTGGACAAAAGGACAAGAAGGCAGCCCTGGTCTGATACAACTCTTTTTATATCCATTTTGTAGAGAGAGATATAAAAAAGCCCTAAAAAATATCACAATGTCTGAACCCAAACAAGACCAGCTGAGACATTGGGGGGGGGCGCTGAGGACAAGAAGCCTTCCTTTCCCATCATCCTACCTGGTTAGTTGGAGGGACCAGGGAATCTGGACCGTAAGCATGTGTGCCATGAGTGTGGGTGGGAAGCGCGCCGGGAGAAATCCCCTTGGGGGAGGCCTCGTCTTTTGATGCGTTCTGCCGGGACCCTTTGGAAGGCTACCTTCGTAACAAGGGCTGGTGCTCTCCATCCCTCTGCCTGCCTGCCCCCCCCCCCCCCACTGACCCCCATCTACGACAGCAGTGCCATGTATTTATTTATTTATTTAAAACAGTAGATGTCGGTCCCTTAGGTTGCTCTGGAAGGATATCCGGGGGGTGGTGGTGGCAGTGCAACGCAACCGTTCTCAAAGGGCTGATGTTTGCAGGCACCCGAACTGTCTTGTCCTTAGTAAACAGGAGTCGGCGCTGCTTCAGAGCACACTGGAACCCACAGAGGCTCCTTTGGCACAGATGCCTTCCACACACGCCCCCCCCACGAGGTGGCAAGGGAATCTGACCCTGCAGCGAAGATGGGCAGGAAGGCTGCCCTGATCCAGGCTGCACCCGTGGGGCGAGGTGGGCTGGGCTGCAAGAAGAGTTTGGCCCCATCCCAGAACGATGGTGGCCTGATGCTGGTCGCGGAGCAGCCGTCGCCTCCCCGACAGGTGGCAGAGAGGGGTGCAGCTGGCAGCAGTACTTTAAAAAAGAAAAAAATCTTTTGGTACAAAACTAAAATCCGCGGGAGGGAGGAGGTGCCCCTCTGCCCCCATTGGGGGAAAAACCGAAAGGCGGCCCACGAGAGCGGCAGGGTTAGGCGGGTGGGCAACGGGGGGGCGCCCCCCCCCCCCCCCGCGGCTCTCAGATCATGGCGATGCTCTCCGGGTTGCAGTTCAGGTGGGTGGAGGTGCTGCTGCCGCCAGGGGACTTGCACCCTCCCCCCCGGCTGTTCGAATGCTGGAGGGCAGCCACCAGGGTGTCGTTGGACACGGCCCCAAACTCATAGGTGAACGTCCCGTAGAAGACCAGGATGTCAATGACGAAGGCCCACTCGCAGATGGCGGCCAGGTGCTGCAGGAGGAAGCTCTCGTGTATGAAGAAGATGCCGCCTGGAGGAGGGAGGGAGCGTCAAGGAAAGGCAGGCCACTCGTGGGGAGGGGAAAACAAGCCCGAAGCAAAGAGGAGCCTCCTTGCGCAGCCCCGGCCCAGGGGGACCTTCTGGGCATAGGGACCAGAGGGAGAAGAAGACAGCCCTGACCCCCCACCCCCCGCCCACCCAATGCAAGAGACAGGAAGGGGTTTTGTGCCCCCACCAGCCACTCTGGTCTCTTCCCTGCCCATGCCTCCCACCTCCAAGGTGTGTCCAGAGAAAAGGATACTGAGGACAAGGGAGATTAAGGCCACGGCGGTAAGGAAGACACGGAGATGTGCCATCCAGAAGTCCAGGGCAGAGGCGGCCACGTGGTAGGAGAGGACGCACTGGAGGCAGACAAAGAGCAGGCCAGCTGGGAAGGCCACCCCGGCGCCAATGTAGTGGAGGGATTTGGCGTAGTCCACCTGGCAAGAGCCAAAGGGAAAGGCTGGAGCTGCCTGTCTTGGTCCGAGGGAAGCAGGCCTCCGCCCTGCAGAGCAGCCCACCCAAACCATGGGGAGTGGGAGGGAGGGTGGGTCTGCTTGTCCAATAGCTACAAAGCTTCCTGCCTCCTTCCTTGTGCCCGGTGACGCCTTCGGGACCTGGAGGTCTTGAGCCAGTGACGTCACGAGGCCTCTTCCCCATCCTGGCCTAACTCACTCACCCCGAGTTGGGGTCTGCCACCCTTCACAGACCCCAAAGTCTCAGTCTTACTTCCTAGAGGGCCCTCCCCTCCCCAAGAAGCATCTGGGTTCCTCTCTCTCCCCTCCTCCCAGTGAGAATAAAGGAGGAGGAGGAGCCCCCGGAGGGCATCTCTCCCCCATGTCCCTGGCATGCATGAGACCTTAATGCGCTCTTTGTGGGGCTGCCCTTGAAGACTGTTCAGAAAGGGGAGAGAGGGCAAGAGAGCAGGGGAGCCATGACAGATGGGGACCAGGTGCAGGGAACCCTTGGGGCCAGGTCTTCGGCAGTCGCCGTTGCTTCCTGTCTGTCCCCAAGCACCATTCTGGATGAGCTCGGTCGGGGGTTCGACTCAGCCGTCAAGGTCCGGCTGCCCCCTTCTCAAGTGAGGCACGGGGTGGCTGGGGAAAGGGCCTTCTCTGCTATTGGGCCACGTCAGTGCCACCTTCCCTGGAAGGTGATCTGGCCCACTCCCTCCCTGTTCAGTACAAGCACAGCACTGCAGGGAGCCACATGCCGGCTGGCTTATTTCTCCTGGCTTTTGAGGTGCCTGTGCAACATCCGGGTGGCCTTTACTCCATGATTCCACAGAGCAGGATTCGTGGTTTTAGAGGAGATGATCACGGAGTTGCATGCTTCGCAGGGTGCTTGCTAAAGGCCTGCAGCTCTTGTAAACGGGCGAGTAAGCAAAGGCACTCATGTGGACTACTCCCTTTCTTGCCCTCAGGCTGGGAGGGGCCCAGTTCCAGAGAGGACTCCAGAGAAGAAGGACCCCAAAGGGGAAATGCTTAGTACAGCATTCCCAACAGGACCGCGTTGCAAGCCCCCCCCGCCCCCACCCCACAGGGGCCCAGGCGGGCTCTTCTGCACCAACCTGGAAATTGCCCACTACGACCAGGCCAGCAGCATTGGTGCAGCCGGTGATCAGGGCCGTCGTGTTCACCCAGGAGCTGTGGCTGTGCTCTATCAGCTGCCCGTAGCGCAGGAAACAGATGACCACCACTGTTGGGGAAGAGGAAGAGATGCCAGGGGTGGGGTGGGGGTGGAGGCGAGGGTGGGGGTCAGAGAGAGGGCCTCTGCTCCCAGCCACGCCACTGGTCTTGGAGCAGGGCAGCCTTTCCACCCCTTATGTGGGTGGCAATTGGTGGGAGCAGGATGCAGTACTGGACGCAAGAGTGTCCGTTTTTTGTTTTGTTTTGAGGCAGCCTAGTTTACATCGGGCAAACAAATTTAGATCGGATCCCCTCCCCACTCCACCCACCCTTGCAGGACACAGAGCCTTGCATGCCAGCTTAGGGTTTTTCCAAGACAAATCTGCTATGCCGGATTGCCCACCTTTCTGAAGTTCTTGCTCGCTGGCCAGCCTTGCCCTGCACCTTATTTTATTTTATTTTTTGATGGCCTGCTGCTTTAAGGGAGGAGAAGTCCAAGCCGCCAGGCCAAGAGGGTTCCTTGGCCAACAGGGGTGTTTCCAGGAAGGCATCCATCAATCTCCAGGATGCCTGTTAGCGCCGCAAGGCTGCCTCCTTCCCCAGCCCTGGAGTGGTTGACGGGAAATGTCCGAGTGCCAGGAAGAGGCTGTTTCCCTGGGAAAAGGCTTCCCGTCCTCCTCTGGAAGGCCCAGCATGGGCTCCCCCGGGACTCATGGGGAAAGGAAGGGGAACGCTTACCCATGAAAGCTCCAACGTTCCCGATAAGGCTGAAGAGGCAACTTTCCGGAGGGTAGGTGCCACATTTACTGCGGGGGGAGGAAAGGACAAAAGGATTGGCATGGCAGAGAGAAGCCAACCTGGCCACACCCCTCAGCTAGCCTGGGTCTAGCCAGGGCCACCCCCAGAGAGGCCTCCGCCTGAGCCCAAGCTGAGCCTCTTCCCCCC